GCTACCGATAGCTCATCGTTTTTGGGAAGGATATGTAACAACCCTTTCCAATGAAAAATATTCATACGCTCAGATCATAAAGATGTGTTCTGATCAGGGATTTAGAATTTACAAGACGAGAAGATCCATTAAAAACAAAGGAGTGGTATGCTTTAGACATGAAAGCCACAGTGCTGTGTTACCTCTAGGTGAATCGAGCAATTATCAGAAGACGACGTCTCGCTACCAAGTATCACTCAATAGCTCAAAAAGTATGAATCACATGCTCTTTCAGCTGTTTAGCTTCCAACCAACCAGTTGTCCTAATTGTGTAATAATTGAGTGGTTACCATATGACATCTTACTGCGAACTTTCACTCCATATCCGAGAAAGCAGGGAATTCCACTGCCTTTTGGTCACTGAATTTTGAATAAACTAATCATCTGAACGAATAGTAATTCAGTTAACTCTTTCGTGTTTTGTGTTGTATAAAAACACACCGAGTGCAAATTTTATACGTCAACATTCAGTCATTAATTAAGAAATAATTCATGTATATTTTAACAATTATGAAGCAGAAGATAGTGTACAAAATTATTTTAAGTATTTTATAATGGTTCTCTATTTAATTTTACAAATAAAAAGATTGAATGTCTAAACTTTCTTTCATCTATATGGGTCTGAACTACAATACTACGTGTTTTCTTTCTTTTTTACCTCTTTTTATTACCATTATGTGTATGCCAATAAATTATAAAAATATTAGATTTCTGAAGCTTTTAGAGGCAGTATAAACCAAACGGTTATTTTATTGGTTGAACCCACACATATATCATTGGCTAAAATAATATAAACCCCAACCCAATAACGTGTTAGCCACCCATACCCCTTGTTTACAGCCTGTATATGACGTGGCATTAACTCCTCTAGTTTCTGGAAGGTATCTTCTTCAATCTTTAAGCGTTTCTTAATCAATATCGTGTCTAATATAGGTAGAGGTGATAGCAATGGATTATGTTTTCGTAACGCTCATTCTAAAAAATCCTAAATTTTCTCAGTGGGATTGAGATAAAGGGTCTGTGCACTTTCCTGGTTTCAAACTCAAACCTACATCCTCAATGATCTGGAATAACATTCTTAGGCTCTCATATGTGGCTTGAAACATGTGACAAAAGATTATTATGTTATTTACATAGATGGTAAATCCCTCCCACTGCCATCCTCTTTAAGTGTAAGATCCATAAGCCTCTTAAAAGTGGCAGCTGCATTTTACAAGTCAAATGGCATGGTGCATACTGTCCTTTCTGACTATGGAAAGAAGTCTTAGAATACTACTTTCATTATCCAGTAGCTGGAAACCAGATCTAGAGTACTGATCCAATGGGCAATTTCTATTCAGACATTCTTTTGCATACATTAATGGAAAGGCATTAACACATGTGAGCATATTCACACACCTTAGAGCCATCATTGGAGACGACTAAGTGTTCTCCAAAGGTAGTACTCTTCTGTCTTCCAACATACTCTCAATTTTACTGCTGGAAACATTCATCATATTCCATAGATGACAATACAGTGATTATTTAATCAGATATACAAAATATTCTGCAAAAAACTAAAATCGTGTTCAAATTCCATGAAAAAAATTATAATACTTTATATCTAAATTCACGAATAAATATCCATGAATGACACTGTTGTTAATGTTAACTTTAGACTGTTCTGTTTTACGACTTATAACTAAGTTTTGTTATTATTGGCTAAGTTACTCACAAGTTTGGGCCTATTACAGAGAAAACAAAGTGAATATAGATCTAGATCAAGTTTGATTACTTTCATGACTATGTACGCGAATTACTTTGAATGGATAATCGCTAAATTGGTACGTAAATTGTGCACGAAACCTCACATGTCCGCCATGATGCGATGCATATTTAACTTCGGAAAACCGCCGATCAACTATATTATTAAGATATATATATATATGCTGGTCTACAATACTTCCGAAGTTGCATACCGGTAAATGTTTGTCTGAATGTTTCAAAGCAAGCATACATTTGTAGCAGCCATTCGTCCAATGGTTTCGAGTATTGAAATTAAGAAGCCAGATTTTTTATTTTACCAAATTATGTTTTCTTAATTGATGAAAATCCACCCTGAGACAGAACTGTGCCTTCCCCGAACTTCTAAAGCGGAAAAACAAAACAAATATTAATGAAAACACGACGTGATGAAATCTATGTGGATTAAACTATGGTGGTACCATACTGGGCATTATACCATCCTTCTTAAATTTACTCTGTATCGCAGAACAGGCATTTTTAATTTGACAATCACTATGGAAATCATCTTGCAATTCATCACTTCAACACTGCATCTTTGGGTTTTACTATGTTGTTAGTTTAAAAAAATATTGGAGCTAACAATTTCTTTTATGATTCCAATCTCCCTTCTTTGAAGATAACGATAATATTTTGACTGTTTTTTTTTTGTTGTTGTTGTATTTATGTTTCGTTGGCAATGCAGTAATCAGTTGATGAATCTCTGATTCAGTTGGTATATCAAATCGATTGGGATATCTTTGAACAAGTTTTTCCCCTCATCCGACCTGGTTTGTTTTTAATTACACACAAAGCTACACAAGGGCTATTTGTGCTCTGCCCACCACGGGTATCAAAACCCGACTTATAGCGTTGTAAGTCCGCAGACATACCGCTTTGCCACTGAGGGGGCCATCCGACCTGGACCCATGGTTTAGCTTAATCGCTACGCATAAACCATCATATTCATGACCACATCTAAAACATTTCAAGCACTTTTCAATGCTACATAGTTTTACATTATGGATCTGGTCCAGCGACCTAGAGCTCAAAAATAGTGCCAAACATCATCTTTTTGTCCAATCAAAACAACCCAAACCTTTCCAGAATGACCTCATTCTATTGGATTCACATCAAGATAGCAGATTGGCTTGTATGGCAGGTGTTATAGTGCACTTTTTCTAGCATGTACAACACTGTCTGAATTATTGTGGATGTTCATTACGTGAACTATATAGTTTAAAATATATTTTACATGATTGAGTTTTTTAATGCGAGTAAATGACTCAGACTTATTTCACATTCCATCCAAATTGTTTGCATACATTTTACCACCACATATAGCTTGTATAGTGTTTGAGTAAATTTTAACTTTCCACACTTTATTTATAATTTTGATAAGTCCTTTTCAATTACCAACTATGCCAAGGTTTTCACATAGCTTCAATTTATATCTGGTTTATACCACTTTACATTATGAGAAATCCCTATTACTTCTCAAATTAAAAGTAGATTCCTGGAACCTATGAATGGTAGAATTGATCCAAATGAAGTGTAACAAATATTAATATAACATTGGTGAAATACCTTATGTTTTTTTCAATATTAATACAGTAATCTCAAAGCACACATAATTTTTTTTGTATTTATCTGGAGTAACAGAAATTATGTACATTATAAGAGTGATACAATCAAAAACTGTCGTTTTCAATTAGTTTACTTAATGTTATACATACACATACTTGTAATTGTGTCCTTCTTTAAAAATATTCACATCTACAGTTGATAAATTGGAATTATCATATACACATATATACATGTTCATGGAGTGGACCAGTTTGGGAAATTTTGCCTCGCAAGACAAATGAAGAAAATATACCCTTGCAGAAAGGTAGACATTTGAGAATGTTCCACCATTATATGATAAAAGGAAAATGGGTGTCATTGCTTCATTCTAGCAAGTGATGAAGTTATGACCCAAGTGTGGATCTTCCTTCCAAGCAAACTAGTTACAAGTGTGGATCTTCCTTCCACAACTAGTTTGCTTTGTTCTGGACGAAGATCCACACTTGTAACTAGTTGGCTTGTAAGGAAGATCCACACTTGCAACTAGTTTGCTTTGTTCTGGAAGGAAGATCCACACTTGTAACTAGTTTGCTTGGAAGGAAGATCCACACTTGCAACTAGTTTGCTTTGTTCTGGAAGGAAGATCCACACTTGTAACTAGTTTGCTTTGTTCTGGAAGGAAGATCCACACTTGTAACTAGTTTGCTTGGAAGGAAGATTCACACTTGCAACTAGTTTGCTTTTTTTGCAGATTGTTTCTGTTTTTTGTATTTTGTTTTAAAGTACTGTATAACAGATGATCATTAATTAACATGAGCAGGGATGAAGAACTTTACTATGAATAAAATGAAATCACTATCTATGACAGAGTACTTTCTTTGTGTGTATACAGATAAAATAAAACAAACTATACTTGATCTCATAAGTATCTTTCCCTCAGTTTTGTGCCACTGGATATATTTCTCTCTTTCCCATGAAGTGTGCTGGAAGCACCAAAATGTTATCACTACATTGGAAATGAAACACAAAGAAAAGTCTGTGAGGTACCACAACAGAAAAAAAAAAATATATATATATACTGAAAAATATATTGCATTAAATAATTTGTAGACTTGTTCAAATTCCAATAAGTATGAACCTATAACTGTTGATGTACCATTGATTTTTGTTGTTCAAAGTTACCTCCAAAAGTTTGCATGTGTTTATTTTGATGTTGATCTACACCAAGCCTGTTTTATATTGAGTCATGTAATATCCAGATGACAGACAAATTGTATTCTGTAGTGTAATAATGATTTCTTCATGTCGCATGGTTATGTTCTGAAATATATAAATTACCGAGACCTGTGGGAGGATATGGGTTAGCCATTTATAGTGATTAGTATCATTCATGTGTGCCCCACCTCTGGAAAATGAGAAACATTTCTTTCTTTATTCATTCAGTGTATATATATATATATACACACACATATATACATATCCTTGATTTAGACTTTGTCTCCCAACCCCAAGAAATTTCTGTAGATGCCCAGATACCCACGGTAGCATTTAGTTAATAATTCTTCTTGTGAGGAAAATGGTTGAAAGTTCACTACCAAATTTAAGATTATAAAGCATTGGATGAAACATAGAACTGGAATAAGGTTTTTTTTATTATTGTTTCAGGAAACGTCTATTAACAATACAATTGAAATTAAGTATTATGTTGCCTTTATGGCGCTAATTCAGTTGGAAATTACTTCATGTTCTATAAGAGTATTACATGAGAATAATGTTGTAATTTTTTAAATATTTTATAAAAACAAAAGGTAAATAGTTTCATATGCTTGAATATCAAAATGTAGGAAGAGGCATTATCAGTTATGACCAATATTAAATAAAAAAATGATATTTCAGTTTTTCTTTTGTATGCCTGTACTTATTCTCATATAATCTAGAACTCATAAGATTTAGTGTTTGTTTCATTTTACAGAAATATTACACCAAATTCAACTGCAACAGCAAAAAAAAACTTCTGTACAATTAAATGTAATTATTTTAAAAAAATCAAACAACTGGATAGATATGCCATCTAATTTACATAAGTATCAATTAGATAATACAATTACTCATAAACTACCTGATCTTAGACTTTCAAATAAGAAGAAATGTTGTGTGCTTTATTTCACACATACTCCCATATCAGATTGGTATCAAATGTTTTAGATAAATCAATATATTTTAAGACAAATTTTTCCCAATTTTGGCTGCATCCTAAGGAGCTACAAACCCAAGAATAGCTTTTATCTTGTGCACAAACATAAACCACAGCTTTGATCAGCCACAAACTCACTGGGAGATTTTTAATTAACACCTCAGCACATTTCTTTGATAGTTCTTCCAGGATCTCAACAGTTATTGGTTGCTGTAAAGCTTTTTTCAAAGTTTTTTGCAGCAGTCTGTTGTGAATGGCCAAGTATGACAACACAGCTAGTGAAGACAGCAAACGAAGAATGCTGACAGAAACTTTCGTGCCTTAAAAAAAAATGACATTGTTAGACAGTAACCATTATGATTTATAGAGAACAATAACAAATAAGTTAGTTTTGATAAAAATTTTGATAAAAGATTTTCATTTACATAATAAAAGTTATGGTTTCTTGACAATAATTATAATGTTTGCTATTACAAAAGTTCTATGCAAAATATCAGTATGTGTTTGAGGCTTTTTAACATAGCATAAGTGCTACCTAATGATCCAATTCCTGCAGTCTCTAGTTCAGAAAGCATAGAGTTTTTCATGATTTGTAGCTGTAAACAATCTTCTTCACTCCAATATCCTCCTGCAAATAAAAAAAAAAGTCTGTCAGATTATTATTAGTAATATAACACATTTCAAACACAAGACAAAGCAAAAACGCTTGAAAAGCCAATTACATCTGTATTGCAATATTAAAAAAGACCTTTAAGAGTTAAGATTGGAACATAGGTCCTAATGAATCTGCTTATGTAAAACATAAAACATGATGTCTTAGAAGTTGAGGAATACATTTAAATTATGGAAACAAATCCTACTTGAAGTGCACCAAATAAACTCTACATATGCATCAATAGCTAAGAAAAATATTCCTCCAGGAAGATAAACAATGAAAATCAATTTAACATTTGATATCACAAGATGTAAGAGAAGCACTCTATTCAGTATCTCATCTACATTTTTAGTAAATTCTACATCTATTGTTATCATGTACTTCAACATAATATATTCTTTTGACTCAACATTCTGACAATTGCTTTAAGAATGACAAAATTTCTATCTCCCTTGCTACTTTATCAAACTTATTTCTAGAAATTGAGCCCTTCAATATGATTTGAAATGATATATGTTTTTAAAGAACACCACACCAAATGATACTAACAAACTATTTTATCATAAAGTCAGAACACAACTTAAATAATGCCATACCACTGATAACAGCTCTCCAAGTTTTCACAGCTTCATTTAAGAAAATTTATATATAATGCAGGGACGAGACATATGGCTCCCATTCCAGTTGTTCTTAGAGGGGAAAAAATCCTATCCATATTACGGATTATATTGCAATAATGTAATATAATCACAAAACTTGAAACCAATTTTCAGCTGCAACTGTAAATTTACATACAGGAAATAAATACATACCTTCTTTTGGAATAATCTCAAGTCCATGATAAACTGTCCACCTTCACTTATTCTGCCTTTTGTCTTAGCTACTGACTCTTCTCCTTTTGTGTTTTCTAATGACAAATCTGTTTCAATAATATATATATATATATATACAAAATCATAATGTAATTTATATAAATGAAACTTATCTTGAATTCTAGAGAAGAAAAACTGTGTACCTGTGTCTCAAAAGAGAAAGATCAACCATGCATAAAACAGACATAACAGCTATTCAAAATTAATGTGAGCAAAAAAGAACAAAAACTGAGCTTTTTAGTTATTTGCTTCTCTTCTCAAAAACCTAAAAAATCCCAGTTCTTTCTTATTTCATTATATTTACTGTTATATTTAAGGTATTCATTTACAATTCATTATATATGTCTGCATGTTATCAAAAAGCCAGTCAGGGTGAATAATTTAGTTCAATGTGCAATACGTTATTTGTCATGGTACATAACACTATGTCAGTAAAGTATGATCTACTGATTGGTTGTTTATGTGGTATCACAATAAGACTGATAATGTTTACTAGGACAATTGGTTAAAGTTATTGTTAGTCTTACTGTAATGTAATCTCGTACAAGATACTCTGTTTAGTTTTGTCCTAATTAAAAGTACAGATAATACTCAAGTTGACAGTAAAGTGCTCTCTTTTATATTATTATTTTTCTAATAGTATGGATAATGTATTTTTAGATAACAGGCAAAAAGTACTTGAAAATATCTCATGCCTGTTCAATAAAAGTCATTTGTTACATTAATGACACCATGATCATTCATTAGGAAGTGATATTTTTTTGTCTTTATACAAGTCATAAACTCCCCCAAAACACACCTTCAAGATAATTATAACTTTTGAGGAACAAATGGTGAGGCTGTATAGATAAAGAATTGTTTTCATGTTGCATACATCCTCAATTTTTCTCACTTACCAAGTTCGAAATGTTTCAAAACTTGTTCTAGCTGTAGGTTATCGGATGATAGTTTATGGAGATGCTTAAGAACAGTAGAAGTAAATGGAATTCCCCCTCCTTTAAAACTGGAGATATCTGAAATAACGGGTCAAGTTGTTAATTCTTTATTATTTATAAATTTACAAAATTTATTATTTTAATTTCAAAACAAAAGTAAAATAGCATACACACTATAATCAATAAACTCTATTTGGCTGTTACTGACAAAAGCTTACAATTAAAATATTGAGCAGTAAACTGCTAATATTGATCCTTATAAATGAAAAACTGTACAGGTTACTTATCAAACAATCAGCTGGAGTAATGATTTCATTGTTATATTTGTCAGTGTTTCATATTTAACACTCAAACTATTACTATATTATGTTCTAAATAAAAAGCATTAATCATAATATTATAAAGTTTGTAACAATAAATAATTTCTTTAATAAAATTTTTATTTAAGAGCATGGTATTTATTCGCAGCAACCAACAGTAAAAATATCGAGCATCCTTACCTGAAAGAGCTTGAAGTATAAGGCATGTTATTTCTTCAACAAATCTATCACTTTTTTGATGAATCAATTCCTTGGGATCTTGTTCAAAGTAGAACTCATTATCCTTTTGGTATTTTGACACATACAGAACATTGTTGTCAAGTTCAACTTGTTTATCCTTTCTAGGCAGGAATCTACTCTTAGGAGGTAAAACCTTCAATTTGGGATATTTTTTTTTACTTGTTTCTTCACTGATATCTTGTGATTGCTCTGAAACATTTAAATCAGAGAAATCAAAGTTTTGATCTTTTGTACTTTTTTTCTCTTCCCAAAGATCAATAAAGTTTTGCTTTGCATGAAACAAAGTAGATGGGAATGAAACTGGTGTATTTCCAAACATAGATTTAGATTGAGGACCAGATGGAAGAAAAAATGCTGTATTCCCAAAACTAAATGTGCTTGATGTTGCTGTGGACTGAAGATCAGGCGGAGAAAAATATTTACCTCCAAAAATATCTGTACCTGATGTTATGTTAGATTGAGGACCAGGTGAGGCAGAAAATGCTGTATTACCAAAACTAAGTGTGCTTGATGGTGCTGTAGATTGAAAATATCCAAAAATACCTGTATCTGATGTCACTTTAGACTCGTGATCAGATGAGGCAGTAAATGGTGTATTCCCAAAACTAAATGTGCTTAATGATGCTGTGGATTGAACACCTCTAAAAATACCTGTACCTGATGTCACTTTAGACTCATGATCAGATGAGGCAGTAAATGGTGTATTCCCAAAACTAAATGTGCTTAATGGTGCTGTGGATTGAACACCTCTAAAAATACCTGTACCTGATGTCACTTTAGACTCATGATCAGATGAGGCAGTAAATGGTGTATTCCCAAAACTAAATGTGGTTGATGGTGCTGTAGATTGAAGACCTCCAAAAATACCTGTACATGATGTTTCCAAAGACAGAGTCATTGGCTCGTCTGCTGCATATCCAGATGTGATTCGTTGCAGAGGTGGTGCAGCTGGTTGATGGTCTGCTGCATATCCAGCTCTGATTCTTGGTAAAGGTTGTATCAACTGGGAACTATCTGCAGTTTGTGCCAGCTTGACTGATGTTGGTGGAGGCGGTGCTGCCATTTTCTTGACCATTCTGTGTCGAGACTTCATTTTCAATTGAAGTGGAGATGAAACTGTCTCAGCCACTGGAACTTTATATAAAGTTGTTGGTGATAGGGTGGTGTTTGCTTTATTTAACACTGATTTATAATGAGATCTTATTAATGATGTACCTTCTGCATGTCTAGTAATGTTCTTTGGTGCAGATAGTGTGTCCAAATCAGATTTTCCACATCCAAATAATGATGATGATGATTTTGTCTCTGCAGTCTGTGGTAAAGATTCACAAACTCTGTCTGAAGAAAATCTAATATCTGTTTCCTTGGTTAGCAATGAAGCATTTTTTTCTATGGTTTCATCAATGCATTTAGAAAGCAAAGTAGATGAAGGTCCTGATGCATTAGATGTTAATTTCTCTTTCAATTCTATTCTATTGGGAGATACAGTGGGGCTTGAGGCCATGGTTTTGGATTTTTTGGTTTGGAAAGGCTGAACATCCTTTGCAGATTCTAATATAAGCTCTTTATTAAGACATTTAACATCCTGATGGTCAGCAGGTGTTGAGTTCTGAAAGTGTTTGATATTTCGTGTTCTGGTTATTACACTATGGTTTTGCATCTGTTTTGCTTCTACATCCACACCATTAACTTCATCCTCTACAGAAGCTTGATCCATCGCTAATCCATCTTCAAAATTTTTCACATAAATCAGTTTTTTGATATTTAATGCTGGTGATGAATCGAATTCACTAAATCCAACATCCATGTCATCATGAAGAAAACTAATACATCCAAAGTCAAGATTGTCATCACTGTCAGTGTCAGCCTCCACATCAAAGTTCTCTTGCAGCCTCTCCTGGTCTCCAGTATTTCTTTCTAATGTGGTAGAAGTTGTAGACGAGATACCTTTCAAAAATCATATATATAGTTAATGAAAGAAAAAATCAATTATTTGTAGCTTTTGAAAACCTGTTATATATTATTACACATGAAAAATTCTTGAACATGAATTATTTATACATATTTGTAAAGTATACGGTTTCAGTTTTGGTTATTTCTTACAAACTAAAAACAAATGCTAAGTGTTAATTTAAGTACAATCAACATAGACAAGGCGTGGCCTGACAGTTCAATATTGTGTATGAATATGTGGTCTGACCTGAATTCACATTTTTTGTATGTATCACTTATCAATCACCCAAAAAAATATAAATAAGGAATTTATCATAGCTAGTTTAAATGTTGTTTTTTTATCTAGGTAAATGTTTAAAAAATACAAATGAAATCAGTTCATAAAACTAGACAAAGAAATCCCTCAATACAGTTTACAAGGTTGATATGTAAGAAAAATGTGATTACTTTATTAAAAAACAACTTCTTTTATCATAAACCTGTGGCATTTAAGCACACTGATTTCTAACAGCAAAATTTCAAATATTTGTAATACACAGTGTATTCAATAAATAACAAGCACAGAATAAAATGAAAACAGACAGCATAGGAAAACAAGCAAACACAAGAGAATGAATGTACATAATATTTATTCATACAATGATAAGTATTGCTGGAGCTTTACTTATATTGACTGGCTTCTGTGTTTTTTATACAGAACATTTCTGGCTGATGGAGCTGGAGAAAGCACATTCACCCAAAATGAACACGAGACAAAATTATTTATTGCACTATTTAGTCATAATGACAGTTTCTTAGTACAATACGTCACAATCCTAGGTTACCATCATCAATGATCATTCCCACTGTAGATCTCTATTACAGATATACTTCATTCATAGTAACTTCCACACGTTTCTGTACCATCTCTTAAAATTAAACAACATCACTCCAGGAGGGTATCACACAGAAACATTGTCAAACAAGTATAAGCCTTACTAAACAATCATTATAGTGTATAACATTATCTATGCAAGGGGATTAGCAAAGTTTATGACATTTCTACAAACTGTTTTAAAGGATGCCAAATAATCACAGGTGAAATGAATTAAAAACCTCATGACCCAAGCACTTTTGAAAGGTGGACCTTTTCTTCAGGGTCAAGCAGTTGGCCCCTGAAGAAGAAAGGTTTGTTTGTTTGTTTTAAATTGCACGCCAAGTTACACAAGTGCTATCTGTGCTAGCCATCCCTAATTTAGCAGTGTAAGACTAGAGGGAAGGCAGCTAGTCATCACCACCAACTCTTGGGCTACTCTTTTGCCAACGAATAATGGGATTGACCATCACATTATAATGCCCCCAGGACTGAAAGGGCGAGCATGTTTGGTGTGATGGGGATTCAAACCCGCGACCTTCAGAATGCAAGTCGAGTGCCCTAACCACCTGGCTATGCCAGACCATGTTAGAAAAACACGTAGGTCTTTCAAAAGGTGGACCTTTCATCTTTGACTACTTAGATCCAAACTTGGATACATCTAAACTATCCTACTGAGAGTTGGGTTTCAGCCATGTGGTGGTATTTGTCTGATGTTGAAAAGCCCCAGACAAATCTTTTTTTGGTAGGAAAATAGTTTGATGACTGTGCCCAGAGGCACAAAAAAAATTAATTTCATGCTCTACATAGTATTTTTTATTCAGCTATATTCAGTTAAATTTATCTAAATTTTCTGGCATATTTTCACCTGTAATTATGTGTGTGTGTGTGTGTGTATATTTTTTGTTATAATTATCCATAGTATTTATCATTACTAATTGCCTTATACGATAAATAAACCTAGAGTTAAATTAATAGCAATAGAACAATGCAGATGACTATTAGAAGACCTAGAAGTAGGTTTTAGCAATATTGGTTGAGAGTTTTAAGAGTTCAAAATTTTCGCCATATAATTCTTCTTCATTTAGTATTATTTATAAAGTAGAAATGCCTCTTCCATTACTGTATAGTTCTGTTATTTGTGAAATTCATGCACTAGGTTTAGTTACAGATTTAAAATAAATCATAATGTATCCATGTGCAGCCTTGATTGTGATGTATGAATGTATGCTTGCACACACACACATAGGGATTTAGCTAAGATGGAAAGCAGCATGAATAAACTTCTGATTACTACTAATAATAAGCAAAGTATAAAAAGCTGTTTCAATCCCAATAAGTATCCACATTAGTTTAGTAAGAAGCATTAGCTAAGATGAGCTATTTAACATATCACTGGCTTGTTAATTTTCATTAACTTTCTATACATGCCCATCACAGATTTAACACCTGGTTGGATAGTGGTTTATTTGACAAATTAATAGAATTGAGTCATGTGATCTACAAGTTAAAAGATGATATAAGCAAAAGAAATTTGCAAAATTATAAATTAATAATACAAAAATAATAAATCTTGATTTACATTCAAAGTACCCTCCCCTTTTTACACCAGAAATGACAATGTTGTTTTATCTAGTATGAGATAATAGCCACAATATGTTTGTGAAATTCAGGTACATCATTTAAAATATTTAAGTGGTCAACATGAATTTTAGGATCATTTGGCACTAGGCATCTATTAATGTTGTATCCTCATTATAGAACAATGAAACAAGCAGTTCCTTCAAATGCAACAAATCTAAAATTACTGCAACTACATTAATTAGAAATGCATTTGTTTTGGAAGTAAAAAACTAATATAATGAGTTTTTATACACATAACTTTACACTTTTCTTACCCAAGTGTGAACTGTCTCCTTCATACCCAATGTAAGGTAAAATATCCACATCTTCATTCAACAACAATTTTTCTAGTGGTGGCTCTTGACCATAAATATCTTCATCCTGAAATTGGACAGAATACAAAATATGATGAACTTTGTAAAGCTGATTTGTCAACACAAGATTTTTGTTATTAGAAATGGAAAGATGATTCTCTTAAAATAAACAATCACTATAAGAAACAACAATAATTACAACACTTGCTAATTGTTTTAAACTATTCCTACATAGATCACATAACAGAATCTTTCATAACTAAGCTATGATAGATTTTAGCAGCAAATAGTTTCCTAATTAAATGACAATTAACAAAACCAATTTTTGGATTCTATGGTAATGAAGAAAAGGTTCAAGATTTTTAAAAAGCACTATATCTTAGTTTAATGGCTATAATTAATGACTGAAGCTGATATTTTTACAACTTGTAATATCGTGATATGAGAACTTTAATAACCATAAAAAAGGGCATTCCCAAAGAAGCTGAATTGTTTCCTCCATATGTTGAATATCAATAAATTGCAGCAAATGGATAGTTACATTAACCCTCTAGAAATGGGTTGTCAAATAATTAGATCAAATTTTTTGGATCACACAAACAAAATATTCAATCAAATTGCATGAAACAAAAACTTTCCGAAGAATATGCAGTTTCTGTATAAAAGAAAACCTATAATTATAGTTAGTACTCATACAACTTTTTAGCTTATGAAATCTTAAAAACTTTGTTGTGAAACATATTTAAAAAAAAATACACACATACACACACTTCTAATTTTTATTGTAACTTCCTTCTTTAAATTTCTTTTACAGTTTCTTTCTTGTGTTATGTTAGAGATCATCAGTAAATTTTAGTAAGTTTCTTATGGTGTTGTTAAAATAAAACAGAAAATTAGTAGCTCTATTCAAACAAAACTCGTTAAATATATTTAGAAGATTTGTAGGTACACAATAGCAAAAACATTAAGGCCTAAGACAAAGGTTTCATTATTATTGACCATAAAGTTCCATTTCACGTACCAAATTAATTTAACTTTTTATAGTTTATATTCATTGACAAAAATGGCTCATGATTAAACATCATTGTACATCACTTCAGGCTTACATACTTGCTAACCAAAATTATCTTTACACAAATTCTATGATTTTCCCATAATTCCATACTAACTAAGGTCCATGTGTGTAGCTTACTGGTAGAAACAAATGAAATCATAGTTGTTGACATTGAAAAAAAAAAAGCATACACAAATGACACTTTAGACATCATATGAACTTTAATTTTTGAAATTAACTAGATAACCATTACATAATGTTTTAAGATCAGTTCTACACTATGTCCCAGCACAAGATTATTCGAATGGGTTAGGGTTATATACACTTATTTCACATTTGGAATATACCCATGCCTATGTAACATCAGTCCTGAAAGAGTAAACATATTAATATCCATCTGATGAAAGCAGCATCATGAACAGTGTTTCCACAATACCTGTAACACAATTGCAAAATGACAACTTAGAACACATGCTGTAATCAAGTTACTGATACATAGTGTCCTGACATGAAACTGGTTTAGAACAAGATGTAGTAATCAAAATTAATAGTAAAACATGAGAGTCTTAGTTTATTACCCATTTTTGCCCTATTAGGGATAATCTGGGTTTAAATCACTTTCAGAAAACTGAGGTTCTTGAATCAGCTTTGGGCAACTGAATTAAAACCAGATCTTCACTTTACTGGTATAATGATGATGTTCATGAAACAACAAAGAAATGTATTATATTTAACAGGAATCACATTAAGAAGTGATTTCTAACCACTCATTTCTTCAGAATCATTGTGCATTTTTTGGTTGGAATTTTATATGAATGAACAACGCAACTTAATATTTTCAACCACTTGGAAATACTTTTCTTTAGTGCAATGTTTGGAGGAGAATATTCTTCCAAGAATGCATTAAAGTCACAAGGAGAAAAAAAAAAGTAGAAAAGTAAGATAAAAATCACTGTCATAGTTAGTAATCTATATGGTCACCTAAGTATAATTATTAAATACTTACTAATTGTTTGTTTATTTTTTTTACACTTCTTTCATTGGATACTAATTAATTTATATCCTTCATTTCTGCTGGAAATCTGCTAAAATCTTCAGGAAAATCCTGAGAAGGACAGTTACTTATGACAAGGGTCTCCTCTACTAGAGATTAATCTATTATTTAAATGGTTTCCGAAAGAATACCCGTGTTATGACGACACCTATTAGAGAGTGACTATGTTGTCAGCTAGCCAAATGTAGAAGGTTTCTTTTATCTTTCTTTATCTGGTATGTGGTGCATGTCCCATTATTTCTGTATTATTCACTCTTATTGTGTGATCATCTTCTCTCCTATAATGGGTTGTTGCAGACAGATTGGTATTACAATCTTGTATATCTAATATGCTTCTAAATTCTGACGGTCTTTCTTCTTTCTCCTATGTATGTTAAAGTCAACATTCACTAGTTATGCTGTAAATGGTATTTTTATTCTCCGTTGTGTCTTCAGATGGTTTAGTGTTTACTAATTGTAACTTTATTGTGTTGTGAGTTCTGGATACTGTTCAGACTTTAAGTTATGCTGTTTGCATATCCTCTGTACATTTCCAAAGAGACCTTCATTATAGTAGGTATAGTTGTGTGTCTGTAATTTTCTCCCTGCTTATTGTTAGTGTTTATCTTATATATTTTTTATTATTATTATTAAAGGATCTAAGCCCTCTTATTTATATTTGGTTCTAAAAGAAAAAAGGAAATGGTAAAAACAGTAAAGGAAAAATCTAACAATAAATAAAAATAATAAATTAATAATAATAAAATAATATAAATTATATTCTCAAATAATGGATATTGGGTATGTTGGACACCAGGTGTTATCAGTTATTACAGCTTGGAAAACGAAGATGTGAAATGTTTAAAACCAGCAAAGGCTTGCCACAAGGATCCCCATAGAGTCTTGTCCTTTTCAACTTATTCATAGCTGATTTGGTCAGTGCACTAGAAGACCTCAGTGTGACACTATATATTGATGATATGTTTTCAAGTATCTCATTGATAGTCAACAGAAAAAAAAAAAGTTAGCCCTTGTTTTTCATGTGTATTCTGTATTTATTATTAAAAAGTGTCATATTTTTACATTTTAGTTATTATTATTATTATTATAATAAAAATAATTTCAATGTAAAAATAACAAACTCTTTAGATTAGTTAAGGTTAGATTAGGTAAGATAAATAATAACATAATAAAATTTTTTCTCAAGGCATGCACATGAGCAGCTTCCAATAGCTCATGGGTAATATAATTCAATAATGTAATGTGAGCCACACATTCCTGTGAGTTACAACTTATAATGGAGTGAATAGTAGTTAGACACAGTTCAAAGAGCAATAAGACAATAAAATGTAAGTATATATAAATGTATACTGTTACAAGTTTAAAGCTACTTAGGATACACAAATGTAGTTTCATGTTACAAGTTGAAGTCATTTTAGAAAGGAAAAAAAAAAAGAGTAATTTAGATTTATTTCAATTTTTCTTTTGGTGGTTATGAAGTTGGTTAAATTGACCAACTTTGTATAGAATTAGGGTAGAGAAAATAACAGATAGAATATAGAG